TAATAAACATTATCGCAAGGGTTTAAAGTAACGATATTTTTTCTGAAAACTGCGGTACTGGTGATCTTTCTTCTGTGCTGCTACAAAGATCTTGCAAGAATTCGTGAAATATCCATAGCCTAAAGTTCGAATGCAGCAGTGAGCCTGCTACTGCATTATTAAACGAGTTACTGGCCATACTGTTTCTCCGTTCCTCCAGAACACAATATTCGTTCATTCCTTTGTGGTCAGTTATTTTTGTGCTATGGATTAAGACTATGTCGTTTTTATCTAAATGTTATTACTTTCACGTAAAAATATCTTTTGTCATATTGGTGCCTCTGCAGCCTAAATTCAGAAACGGTTCGTATTGGTTGTACTGTCCACTCAATTCTAAGCTTACATAGAGTAAGGAGGTAAAGAGTATGCAATATAATTCGTCTGAAGTAGACGCACTGGTAGTAAATATGTTAAATACATCCACGAAATGATATTTCACCGCAGATGGATCATTTTACATATTCTGTTATTCTACCATTCAATAATTATTTCTCTGTTAGAGCTACAGGTTTTTTTCCTGATGGACCTGCGTATCAAGAAATTTTCAGCTCGCGGTTGTAGATGAAGTTGTAACTTTTCTGCTGAATAGGTGCTGAAATTAAGGAGCAAACAAATAGTAATGACACTAAAGAAAGCATATATATATCTGTAGCAAAACTGCGAACACACATAGCTATAAGCGACCCATTCGGTGAAAATGCTATTGCCTATAAAAGGTATGTAATATATTTTACTTCATTAATCTCAATCCTATATTCGACAATGGCAGATCATCATGTTTGTCGTCATCATCCACACGAATAACACGTTCTTTATCTTTCTGATGTACATAAACTTCAACCTTAAGATGAGATTAACCGCTGCAGATTCCAATATATCTTTAAAAAATGGCAGCTATGGTGTTTAACATCTAAACTAAGATCAGCATACTACTGTGAACTCCGTGAAACAAGGGCGGCGTAATGACCCCAGTATTGTAGTGCTAAAAATGCACGCATTCCCACGCTGAAAAACTTGCGTTTCTTCTTTTATCGTCAACCATTATCCGTCGTCTTCACGCTTACGTTTCTCTACCTACCATAGTCTCCTGCACATGAGTTTCACCGATCGATTGCCATTGATTGTCGTAGCCATCGTCATCCTTGTCGTGGTGCTTATTGTACTGTAGCTGTTACTGTCACGAACGATCGCCTCTAAGCGTATTTCAGCGTCTGTTTTGCAGATGAATACCCTTCGGTCGAAAGAGAAATGTCTGCGCATTGCCAGCGAACTTTCCAATTTGGTCGTTTACTGTCAAGCTGTTCCTTTTTGTCCGGACAGTGAGTATATTAACTATTTGCTACTGCCCTGTGCGTCGTTATATACAAAGTTATTCGTCAGCTACTTCTGTGTTACTTTGAAACGCTAATCAACAAAAGAAACGGATAAATAATTTTATATTAATTTTTCGGTTTTGCATAGCGTAAGTTGGTGGTTACATTTTTCAGAAATCTTCACAAAGAAAAGTCGGTCTCGTACATATGTTCGTTAGGGGACACAAACCCTGTATTTGGTTCCATTGTATGACCAAGTGAGGTGCGGTGGAGTAAATGGGTTTTCATTCCTTACCGTAGTTACGAAACGGAATATTCAGGAACGATGCGACGACGGCTTCCGTCGTGCTTTCATGATGAACTCAATATATTCTGTACCCTTCTTTCTTGGAACTAATATGTGAATTCTGTTGTACGTTGCTTTTAGTTGTAAAAACAAAATAAAGCGAAAAACAGGTGATGCTGTCAATATTGGAATGCGCTTATTTTCAACTACGTATCCGCTACTGTACTTTCGAGGGTCTCGTGACTGTTCGCTGCAGAGTCCTTC